TCTGAGCTGAGTTCGGTCGTTTGAGATAGGAATTGATAAATGTATTGAGGTTGAAGGCCATCATTTTGAGCACTTACTTAGTTAAAACTAACTGTTGGCATTTTTTTTACATTAAAAATAATTGTCCTTAATAGCACCATCTGTCGTGAATTAAAAAAAAATTATGTGTTTATCCGCAGAATCTGAATCTGCAATAAAAAGTGGGGTGCTTTTTAAAAAAACCAGTCACTCCCCTTCCCCTACACGGAGGGACAGAGGAACACTATTTTTTTTATTAATTATTAACTGTGATAATAAACATTTTTTCGTGCTTATTATTCAAGATATTGAGATGTTTTAAGTTAAATGTTACACCCGGTATATTGATCTAAACTGTAGTCCTGGGTTTCAGTCATTTATTTCTAATTTACAATTACCATTTATTTTTAAAACGTTTCGGTGTTTTTCCACTATCTTCAGTTTTTTTTCCGGTGAGTTTTGGGAAATGCTCTTTTATGCACTCCCAGAGCTGGTGGTCTCTCGTTCTGGGTTGTGTGGAACTCCAGCTAAGCTGTTTACCCACTAGAACCCTTTCCTCACCGCCGAGGTGGTGTTTGGCCTTGCACCGCGGTCATTTCTGTCCTATTGTGCCCTCGTAATTTTACTCCCTCATTATCCCTGTATATTCAGTGAATTTCAGAAGAATCTTGAGGGGAGTTCGCATGATCGGGTCTGGTGAAATTTGATGCCCTCCCAGGAGTCTTCGTCTACCTGTTGTATATGATGTATGACATATGGAGAAACACACGATCTTCAGTTAGTCTGTACCTATACATTTTGGGACAAGGGCAACATTCTTGCATCTAGTTAGGAAATTCTTTCGGATTTTCTCCTTTGCCCGTTTCGCTTTCAGTTTTTTATATCTTTTCTTTAAGTTGCGGTCCATTTGATCCACAATGCTGAATTCCCAAGCATTTCGATTCATGTATGTTTTCCGGACTGTATTTCCACGGCTAATCTACTATTCTCCTGCGTTTCAGTCATTTATTTCAAATTCCCAATTATTTAATTTTTTAAACCTTTCTGTGTTTTCCCACCGTCATCTTCAGTTAGTCTGTATAAATTTTGAAAGGAAAAATAAACTAACGAAAAGTTACATGATATAATTATACAGGGGGATTCAAAATTGGCCTCGTTCCTCTGGAGATGTTGCCTGGCGGTAATTAAGAAAAAATAGAAAAAAATTAATTGCTATTAAAAAGTGAGAAATTTGCAAAAAACTATATCAGGAAGACGGTAACAATGTTTTTCAAGGTAATCTGCTTAATTAACATTGCGTAAATACCTGTTGCTTCGTAACTATTAAAAACTCCGGTAACCATGGAATTAAACAGAAAGTGACAATAAAATAGGCAAGGATAAACGGTAAATTCAACAGGATTCGTTGAATGTCTGAACGAACTTTTTCGAAATGTCAATTATTGTCCTCATAACCTCGAATTGATAGTTTTACAAAAGAAACATACATTTGCCTCTTTAACTCCAAACAAGTTAGTGCCTGTGTAATCACCTAATTATCTACTCTTCTCGAGCAGCTTCTCGTATTCGGTTAATTAACTCCTGCTCAGTTTGTACCGGTGTTCAGTAAGGCATTGGTTTAATGTGTCCTTGTGCTGTGCGTATCTAACATACGTGGCAGAAATGTAGCTCTTCTTCGGTGTTTATTTGATGTCTGGGAAAGTGTGCCTGGGTAAACATGGATAAATAGAAAATTACAATAAGATAGACGGTAACGGATAGGGATAAACGGTAAATTCAACAGGAATAGTTCAATGACGGAACCTATTTCGAAACTCATAACCTCGAATTATTAATTTGCTTACAAATTACAAAAACATACATTTGAGTCTGTAACTCCAAACAAGTGCCTGTGTAATCATCTTATTATGCACTCTTCTCGAGCAGCTTCTCGTATTCGGTTAATTAACTCCTGCTTAATTTATACCGGTGTTCAGTAATCCATTGGTTAAAGTGATCTTACATACGTGTTAGGAATGTAGCCGGTATTTGTTTGGTGCCTGGGAAAGTGTCAGTTGTGCAATGCTGTGAGTGCATCTGGAAGGCTCTGCTCCAATTATGTCCAATACTTGTTCTTTTGTGTCTGGAACCCGAACATCTATTGTCGTCCACTATCTTCCTGGAGCCAATCTTCAGTATCTCTAGCCGTTTGTTGGCGTGAGTTCTTTTTTACAGCTTCTGCTATTTTACTGTGGCATTTCCCCAGAACTAATCACATATTCGTAAATTCGTAAAAGGAGCTTCAAAGAAAGTCGCAGTTTGACTAACTATCTGTTAATGGCCAAACCAAAAGTAATTTTTCTTTTCGAATGCGTTGTTGCTTCTTGTTATATCTAGATGGAAGACAACCTGTTTTTGTTTTGAAGTTATCTTTCGAACCACCTTCAACTGTGTGGAAGAGAGTGAACCACGTATCGTGTATTTGAGGAGGATCTGTATATTCATTTTCTAATGTCGACTTGCTGTACTTTTAGTTAGTTTTCCAAACAAACATTTACAGACCGGCAATGCTTACATTGTTATAAATCTGTTTCAGATTCGAGTAGTGAAGATAAAGAAGACATCGCAGATGCTTCCAATGACATAGGTATGAATCAAAGCCTGTATACCCCCCCCCTCCCTTAGTTAATTTAATACAGGGTGATTCAAAATTGGCGTCATTCCTCTGGAGGTGTTGTCTGGCGGTGTTTTAGGAGTGCAAAAAAAATAGTAAAAAAATAGGTTTTAGACCGAACTTCTTGCGGAATGGAAGTAGTTTCGGGACCTGAGGAGTTGACTAACAAAGCCACTCCGTCAAATTGTGCAAGTAGGCTGCACGTTATCAGAAAGTTATTTCTTTTAACTATCACTTTATTTTATAACTCCTCAAATTGCGGGTTTGATATTTGCTCCGTTTACCGTGTGTTTACGATAGTTTTCGGTAAGCCACACTGTAATTACACAGGGTGATTCACAAACTTATGGACACAGAGCAGGGGCGTGTAGAGGACCTGAGGACCTCAAAACAAGTCGAGTTTTCATTTAAGTTTTTGCTCAGGCCGTGGTTAACGATATATAGGGTGTTAAAGTTTTAAGAACTTATTGGTATTTTCTCTTTAACTCCTACAGTTCTTGGGATATTTGGCTCAAATTTTGAAAGTAAGCTACTGTTTAGACCCTTTACCCGCAAGTAAGGGTCAAAGTTTTTTTTTAGAGGGATACCCCCGTTTACCCCCTGAAATTTGGTGCGCCACTGTCAATTTAAGATTTTTTTTATATCTTACAGTTTTTTCGTATTTGTCTTCCTCTTCGAGTTATTTACGTAAACATAAGTCCACATCGTGTTTCTGGGTGATTTTTTATGAACTTACTTATAAAAAAATATGTGTCCTTTTGTTCACATTTTTTTTGTGAAACCTTGAAAGTGCAAGTTGAAGTTAAAATAGGGATGGCTGACGAAGTTTTTTTACTTAATTTATTTTACAATAATTCAGGTTTATCGGCTGTAAGCTAAAGCTTAAATGTCATTTTTTTTATAATAGTACATTTATTACTGATACTATTCCATACATTTTCTGTATTTTCAACAGGCGTTGGACATACTTATTCTCCTATTTCTTGAAGATCGGTCGATCTGTTAATTCTGAAGTTGCCTGTGCATCTTTTCCTGATACGTATATCGCCAACTATATCTGCTTCTTTTAGGTGGCTTCTATATCTGTTTATTTTAAGTGGACTGTATTTTTGTATTATTTTCTTCTTCGTGCGCGTCCCTATCTGAGATGGCACGCCCAACACCGACTTAAGTATATGAATGCACCCAACCGACGAATTAAAACCCGATTGTCGGCAAAATTAAAATGTATATTGCTCAGAACGTTATTTCTACCCACGTCCTGTTTGTTTTTTTTTCAATTACTTTAGTTACTAGAAACAAATACAACTTAAAATAAAAAACTAATTGTCACATCGCCCCCTAGACTAACTTATGTGGTTGGCAGGAGAGACAAATATATCTTATTTACTCATTTTGCAACGGGAAGTATTTTCTCCTAAAGTTCATATTTACTGATATGTCGCACTTCCACGCACTAATGAGCAACCCTGTATGCTTCAGCATCGTTAAGTTCTTTAAAATGCTGTTGCCATGTCTTTATTGGCACTCTTTTGGACTGCACGAACTCATTTACTTGTTTTTTTCTTTTCCGGAACATTTTCCATACCATACAGGTTACGGCCTGTATGGCGCTCAAAGGAAAGTATGGAAGGTATGGAATGGATTACGGTTCATGTCCTTAGTAAATTTAGACCAATGTTCTCGTTTGATTGATTTCATTCTTGCATTTACTCTGTTTCTTACTTGGACATATTGCGTGAGTTGCTTTCGACGGTGCGCTTTTGAATGTTAGGTAGCATTTCTGTTTTGATTCAGAGAGTACTTTTACGTTTTCCAATGGCTTCCTCAGCTGCTTTGTTAATGCATTTCTCAATATGTTGCCAGCTCTTTTCTACTCCCCGCTTTGAATATACAAATTCTTTAAAGTCCCTCACAGAAAAAAATAAAACCTATTAAAACCTGGCAATCGCGGGGCCAGCGTTGCGGGCAATTATTTCCGCGATGTATTTATCGATTTCGGAACTGTAAGTTCGAAAATTCACGAAGGTTCATAGAGAAATGCGGAGGCGCACCATCGTGCAAATACCACATGTCAAGTCGCAAATATTCGAGAAGCTCTGGAAAGGTGTTTTGTAGGAAAAGCAAATAACTTGCACCGTTCAAACGATTAGGTGAAATAACTGGCCCAACCAAATCACCCAACGATTCCGGCCAAGACAATAATTCAAAATTGTCTTTGATAATGCTGGGTTATTGTAATATGTCGATTTTGATCGAAATATTCATGGCTATTGTGTAGATTTGTGATTCCCCTCCGAGTAAAGCAGGTTTCATCAGTGAAGAAGGATACTTCTGTGAAAACAAACGTTCTGATTTAAAACGAAATTACAAAAAATCATCCTTGGCTCTAAGTCTTGCGGTAACAGTTCTTGAACTTTTTGAAAATGATATGGATGTAGCATATTACGTCGTATAACTCGATGGACTGTGGTGTATAATGTTGTCTGCATATTCTTCGGGTACTGGTTTAGGGGTCATTTCATAGGTGGCGTAAAATTGGTTCGTCATTTTTTGCGTTCACTGCGTAAATGCGACCTCCGCTATTGAGTTGGCAAAGAGAGTTTGTCTCCCGAACTTTCCGTTCAACATTAGCAAACGTTTTTCGACTTGGAATCACAATTTGGAAATCTTCTTTGGTCTACCCTACTTCTTCGGCAGTTACTCTCACTAAACCCCAATACTAATAGCATATCAACTTGCTCATTGAATGAACATTTTCTAGTCATTTTTAATAAAAACAGCTTGGTTTTACGAAAAAAGCCGTTAGGTACACAAGGAAACTGATGCGTTTATTTTACGAGACGTCAGATTTGACAACCAATTATCCAGCAAAAAGTAGCACAGCCTACTATGATAAAGTAAATTACTCGAAAATGAAGGCAGATACGAAAAAACTAGACAGAGATAAAAAAAATTAATTAGACAACAAATTCAACAATTTGTTCGGTCGAAATCAGTGGCGCGCCACAAAAAGTTCGGGGGGGGATAAAAAGGAGGAAAAAAATGAACCCTGAAAAAACACTATAGATTTTCGCGACCAGTTGGCTTACCTACTGGTAGAGGGTCTAAGCAGTAGACCAAGTAAAAAATTTGATCAAAATTTATCATGAACTGCAGGTGTTAAACAGAAAATACCAATATTTTTTTTTAACTTTAACACCTTGTATCTCGTTAACCATGGGCCTGAGAAAAAAACTTAAATCGCAACTCGACTTGTTTTGAGGTCCTCTACACGCCCCTGCTCTGTGTACATAAGGTTGTGAATCACCCTGTATAATTACAGTGTGGCTGACCGAAACCTATCGTAAACACACAGTAAACGGAGGAAATATCAAACCCGCAATTTAAGGAGTTATAAAATAAAGTGATAGTTAAAAGAAATAACTTTCTGACAACGTGCAGCCAACTTGCACTGTTAGTCAACTCCTCAGATCCCTAAACTACTTCAGTTCCAGTTCTGTGTCCATAAGGTTTCAATCACCCTGAATATTAATCTAAACTATTCTCCTGGGCTTCAGTCATTTATTTTGAATTCACAGTTATTTATTTTTTAAAACGTTTCGGTGTTTTGTGACCATCTTGCGTTAGTCTGTATAAATTTTGGAAAATAACAAATGAAGGAAACTTACATGATATCATTATATAGTGGCCGACAGAGGGAACGATAAACTAAGCCAGCGAGCTCTTGGAGCTCAGCCCAATATTTCCTTACACTAATGCATTGTAACTTGCGAAGGATATAAAGTTGCTTAAATGGACTAATCCAATGACTACAGAACCGAACGAATTTTGTTTTCGATTTTTTCGACTATTCCAGTCAGAAGTGTTGTTTCTTGATAAATTTAAATGGAAGTCAACCTGTTGTTGTTTTGACCTTTGACTTTGAAACCACCTCTAACTGTGTTTGGCAGAGAGCGAGCCTCGTATAGTGTATTTGAGGAGGGTCTGTAATTTTATTTAGTTTGCCATACAAATATTTGCAAACCGGCAATGCTTACGTTGTTATAAAACTGTTTCAGATTCGAGTAGTAAAGATGAAGAGGAAATCGCAGATCGTTCCAATCACATAATGATGTATCAAAGCCTGTATACCCCACATATGGTTCAAAGGATCCAGGAATTGCCCTTACCTCCAATGATGAAAAAATATCTTAATTGTAACAGAGATATGAACATTGAAGATGGTGAATAAGTTTTTAACTTTGTAAAGTTAAAAGTTGTTATGTATTTCTAGTATATAATATACCAGAATTACATAAAACTTAATCCGTTAATTAAGTTAATATATTAATTATTTTTATCAAAATAATTGATTGATTAGGATACTTTAGGATTGTTTGCTGAAATAGTGGTGATCACACAGGTTATTTAAAAATTGTGTTCTTTGTAAGCAAGTGACTTGAATAGTTACATTTTGCGTTTTATATCATGTAAAATGAAATGTTGATCAAACGTAATTACTATAATTTTATATAATTAAATCGACCCAGTGGGGAATACATCGTATCTGATACGATACAAAAATTTGAAGCTAATAACTTGGCCAATTTCAATTAAACTAGTTGAGAGTGATCTGACTAGGCATAGGCAACACTGTGTTGAGTTAGGCTTTTAATTTGTTGCGGCTCTGTGCGCTAATGAGTTGTAACTCATCGTGCCGCACCTGAACTGAACTCTTGGCATTTAAGCCAAGAGTGGATTATTGTTTTACGAGGTTCGACACCGTTACCTGCATTCTGAAACCTCCGTCCCATGCATCCGTTTATGCGATGATACGATGGTACGAAAATGTTTCTATTGGTCAGAGATTTTAGACGTTCGAACGATCCTGATTTCTAGCTGTCCCATGTATATACGATAACCTGGGTTGTGAACGATAACCATGCTTGCCGGATTCACAATTTTATCGTTACCATACTGAAATCCAACAACCTCGAGTTCAGTTCTACGGTTGAAAAATAAGCAGCAATAAAACCTATCAAAGTTTTTTCTATGAAAATGTCAGGTCGTACATGTAATAAAACAAAATTATGAATTGGCATTCTAAAGAATGTTTAAGAAATATATGTGTTTTGAATATTCTGATGATGCAAAATGCTAAATAATATCCAAACAGATGGAAGCTATGGATCCGGTCAATAAAATTGTGGAGGAACATATAATTTGAGTGTACCTACAGTATCAGTAAAAAATCTCCTGATAAACGGTATAACGGCAAGATAGAGGTTGTGAGATTCTAGGATACCACTCAGGGATCGGTCCAAATCGATTAACAAACACTTGAAATGAAATATTCGTTTATTTCATGTTATGAAATATGGTCTGAAACCCCAAATCTTTGTGTATTTTAATTTTCCCTGTTGTGCCTAATCCATAATAATAAAAACAGAAGCACTTTGTTAATCCTATTTTGTCGTGAAAGTTTAATTTTCATTATTAAAACTGATAATAAATTCAACATAAAATATAATATGTAAACAATGAATATGACGTTAAAAACTATGCGACCATCGTATAGAGATAAACATTTTTTAACTTGATAAGACGACGAACGAATTGACAGACCTCCAACCAATAGAAACACTTTCGTATCATCGTATAAACGGAAGCATGGAACACGGGCTTAAACCTAAAAAAATATCACCACATTAATAGAGAAAATTATTCTCTGTCAGACAGTCAGCTTAGTTACAGACTGAATTTGGTTCGATTGAGTTCTTGGTTACTTCACAAGAAATTTGCAAGCTTGAAATACAAGACGAAATTTGAATAGTATGCAAGATTAGGCAAAAATGGTATGCACGTTGCCACTTTCTCCCATTTCTCAACATCAAATTGAGCACTTGATATAGCATTGAATGGCATATTTTCACAAATTAAAGCATGATATCTGGGGCCAGCAGATGAAGATAAAGAGATGATCATAACTACAAAATAATAAAATTAAGCTCCAATGTAAATTTCGTTGTTTTCTATCATCGCTCGGAAGTTGAGCAACAATTTCATTTCTGAGTGATTTCCTCGCGGATTTTTCTTATAATATTTTTTGGAAAACAACTAATTCGGTTATAAATTTTAGTTTTGGCGTTGTACTTGGCGTTGTTCATCACTGCAGCTGAATGAAATTCAGACAAATATAAATGGCTCCAAATTCAAAATTAAATTAGTGACAGATCAGCGCATGAAGTGTTTTTCGTTTAGTTGTTGTTGACTTAGGTTAGGTTGCAACGTGAAATTTGTCCTTGGAAATGTTGCCGTGCGAACACTACAAAAATGTCAACAATAAACAAACTGAAATCGCATTGCCAAGCAAGAGCAGAGCAATGAACCATCGACAGGGCGAACAAGCAAATTATTAAATAATCATGTTTATTCTATACTTCGGTGCCTTTTTTGAAATGATGTCTGAATATTCAATTTGCTACCGACTGTATGGTGTAAATCGCGTTCTCAGCTGGGAAATATATAATTATTATGATCTTTCTGGCAAGTGCGGTAGTTTGTGAAAGTGAATGAGTAAACTTTGAGGATTAATGGGAAGAAAATGGAGGATGGGGCGCAGTCCCTGCTGGTAAGAATGATCTCTAATGTACAAATCTTTTAGCTTGAAGTGAGTAGTTTTCCGACAAGCAAGAGGGAGAGAAAAGTCACCACGATACTTACCGCTGTGTGTTGAACGTTTTTTAGACTTCGCCAGTTACGGCTTTTACTCTTTAGTGCTGGCCGATGAGTGAGCTTGGGTGAGGAGCGGGCTTATTTGCCTGAGATTAATAAATGCGCCAAAAAAAAAGTAAGTTTTGGGTAATTTGGAAGCAGCTGGTTCTGTGGTTTGGCCTTATTTATTTTTGCTTAGGGTAGGTGTTCCCAAAAGGGGTCTGCCATTAGACTATTGGGAGATTTGAAGTGGAGTTTTGGGATTGTTCAGAAAAAAGTCTCTTGGATTAGGGGATTTGTGTGGTCGAGGATTCTGGTTTTGAACTTTTTGTGTAGTTTCGAAATGAATTCCTGAATGGTTTCCATTTCGAGGTTTTTGTGGATTTGGGTGTTTCGAATGTACTAAAGAGCGCGTGAAAATCGACGTAGGAAATTGTTTATGTTTGATTTGCATGTTTGGCTGATGACAGGTGCCCAGTAACAAACTTGTACTCTGGATCACTTGTTCGTAAATTAGAGTTTTGTTTTGTAGTGAGAGTGTGCTTTTGCGATTGTCAAGAGGGTGTAGGTAGGTGGCAGTTTGAATTCCTGTTTTAATGCTGTTGTTTATGTGTTGAGAGAAGTTTAGCTTAGCCTCTTGTTAGAGCCATAAAGATTCACCATTGTCGTCAAATAAAGGTTCCGTTGGGGGTCAGTAGGCCGAGAAAGCGGGTGGTGAACAGGATAAAAAAAAGATGCGAACAGGGTGCCACAGTGTTCAGGCCCCTTTGTTTAGTACCACACCCTTGTTTTGTTTTGTGGCGTTTTAGATACAGTGCGAGAAAAATATTGAAAATTTTTTTTTAGATAATTTCTAGAAGATTTTAACAGTTGAAGATCGAATTTCAACTTTGTTATTAAGCATTATTTTGAAATTGTTCCATGTTTAATTGGTAGCATATTGGAA